TTTCTACATGTGGATTTGAAATGCTCCTTTTATTGTTTGAGCAACACTAATAAAGGCTCCAGGTAATTTTCATGCCTGAACAAAATAATACTTTTCCAGCTGCAGCCACTACATGCCTATACCTTTGGGTATGATAAGTACCCATTTTGCAAGCATCTTTTACCCACCGGTTACTTGTTTCCACTTTGACAACCAAACCAACCAATGAGATTGGACTCCACTTCACTACTAAACTGATATTAAGAAAAACAGATTAACACCATTTTCATTGCTATCTCTAAGGGAGAGCCCAGCCACCCTGCGGAGAAAACTCATTTTGGCTGCTTATATCCACGATCTCATTCTTTCGGTCATTACCCAAAGCTTAGGACCATAGGTGAGGTTTGGAATGTAGCACCAATCCGCCTGTTGATCTCGCGTTCCATCTTTCCCTCACTCGTGAACAAAACCCAGAGATACTTAAACTCCTTCACTTGGGACAGGGCCTCTTCCCTGACTTGGAGAAGGCATTCTACCCTTTGCCGACTCAATCGGATTTAATGGAGCTGATTCTCATCCTGGCTGCTTCACACTCAACTGCAAACTGCTCCAGTGAGAGCTGGAAATCACGTTCTGATGAAGCCAACAGGACCACATAATCTGCAAAAAAGCAGACTCAATCCTTAGGCCACCAAAATGGATCACCTCAATAAAAATCCTATCCATAAAAGTTATTAACAGAATCAGTGATAAAGGGCAGCCTTGGTGGAGTCCAACTCTCTCCGGAAATGAGCTTGACTTACTGCTGGCAATGCGGACCAAGCTCTGATACCCGTCATATGTAGACCTAGCAGCCTGTAACAGAGGGCATGGTACCCCATACTCTCGAAGTACTCCCTAAAGGATCTCCCGAGGAAATGCGGTCAAACGTCTTCTTCAAATCCACAAAACACATGTAGACTGGTTGAGCAAATTCCTACGAACTCTCCAGGACCCACTTAAGGCTATGGAGCTGGACCAGTGTTCCACGGCCAAGAAAAAAACCACATTGCTCCTCCTGAATCCGAGATTCAACAATCCGACTGGCCTTCCTCTCCAGAACCCCTGAATAGAACTTAGCAGGGAGAGTGATCCCCATGTATTGGAACACATCCTGCTGTCCCCCTTTTTTAAATAGGGGGGCCACCACCCTGGTCTGCGAATCCAATGGAACTGCCTCTGATGTCCACATGATATTGCAGAGCCGCGTCAGCCAACACAGCCCCAAAACATCCAGAGCCTTAAAGCTTGGTGTATTCTTGACGCGTTTACTTTCCGCTTGGTGATGTGGCTCGTGGATGGAACGCGCTTCACAACTTCCAGCGTTTATGGTTCATGCGGCTTGTCTCTGGGGTGAGCCAATATTCTCCCAAACTGTAGGGGGCAGCATGGAGCTCTACGGCATGCATCCAACACTACACCATAGTAGAAGTAGAAATGACTGTTGTTTACAACATGGCATTCCAGCATTTTTAACAGCGTCCTCGTCTTTTCCAACAGTGCGAGCTATTTCTCTCCGAGAAATTGATGGTATTATGATGTGAGGTGATGGATTATCATCATCATCACCTACCCCTGGAGGCTTGCCACCAAGGGGCTTTTTGACCACCTCAGTGACCTTAGCACCTGGGATTGGTGATTTCTTGCATTTGTTGTAAAACATGAACAAGCTTTCATTCCAACAACATCTGCTTCAATGCATCTGCAATTGAATCATGCCCAGCATATCAAGGATGTGAGCTCTCCTTCTCATTGCTGAAGTGGTAACCCCTCGAATAGCCAGCAGGGATTAGACATGGCCTCACTGCAGATGGAAGATCGCTACTTAACAGGAGCCTGATCTTAAGGGAACTCTGTATAGTCTAACAGAAACTTTCAGCTCTTACATTCAAGGATCAAGCGATTCAGATGCTGCTGGTTTCCATGGTGACAGAAAAATGCTAGTGTACAAGTGGAGAGAATAGCTATCTGTTTTATTTTCTGATGGTGGTGGATAGCATTCCCTGGACCACAGAAAAGCCTTGGGTCAGTCTCTGGGTTTTTTGTCAGAGTGCTTGTGGGAAATGTCAATGAACACCTGCAAGGAGCTCTCTGACTAAATTTAAAATTATCACTCCAATCATTAAAAAATGTCCAATAAAGATTTCTCCTGTTCTCACGTGAATAAAGCTGCTTTTAGATAGATTTACTTTTAGAAATTAGAGATAAAGAAACTATTTAAAGCAGATATCAGCAGACGTAGTAGTAGTGGTGGTGGTGGTGGTGTGTGTGTGTGTGTGTGTGTGTGTGTGAGAGAGAGAGAGAGAGAGAGAGAGAGAGAGAGAGAGAGAGAGAGAGAGAGAGAACCTGGATGACTTGCTTGTAATTTATGTAATGAATTCTGCTGTCTAGCAGAAACGTAGCAACAAAGAAAGTCAGACCATCATTTAATAACTTAAAGCATCATTTAATCACATAAATATTTGGGTTATGCAGCAGTCTCTAATTACTTAAAAATAAAGGTTACAGGGTTATCCACTTTAGTCTTGACTGCATTCAAACTATCAGCTCAGTTAAAGTAACAATAAATAGGTTTTCTGCTTCTCCCTCCTACTGGTTGGTAATAGAATTACAACTGTCATAAAAACTCTTGCTGCTACCTGCAGAAGTTAGCGCTAACAGCTAACCACTGCAAACACCAGCTTAAGATCCACATTGTTGGACGGAAATGTTATTTCTTACAAGTCCAGTAGCAACAAAGCCAGGTCACTATCAATCTGTGATTTTGTAGCCTCCTTCAGCTCCCTCAAATAAGTAGGCCAGCCAGTGTTTTAGCTTTTTGTTTTGCCTCCAAAGAAATTATTCTCTTACGTTTACTTTCAAGCTCTGCAATAATGCCAAAAACAAATCTAAAAAATTCTTCTAGTGCTTCTTATCACCGAACTAAAAGAAGCTAACCCCTAGCCTTTATATGAGCTACTGGCTGAGTAAACAGCTTACAGCCATGAAGCGGGTAGAGACCTCCCCCTGGTGTTCCTACTTGAACCTCAAAACTGTTAATTGCAGTTTCTGGTCAGCAGAGGACAGCAACGTGTTGTCCAATGTGAAGTTGCTCAGGTTAATGGATCAAGAATCACTGAAACCAGTTTGAAAGCAATCATGTAACTCTTTAGTGTTTCCTTAAGACTTATACTCCATTTTTCCAACTTATATCTAACCTTCGAATCAAACCTACAAATGTTCAAATGATCCCATTAATGTTCCACTTTTACTAATGAGCCGAGTAGAGAGGGACAGAATTTGCCTAAGTGGAAAACATACTTTTGGACTAACAGGTGAAACTCTGGTGAGTCACAAACATGCCAAACATGTTTGACCATTAAACTCCAGGAGAGTACACATTTTTAAAAGAAGACACATCCTAATTCTCAAGCAAACAAAAATGCTATTATTTGAGTTTCATTAGAATAGGATTTTTTGGGAGAATGTGTTCAGTTACAAATGCACCATTTACCTCTGGGTTTTGTCCATCTGTGATCCCTTCAAATTCCCACTAAAGTAAGGAGACATAACATTAATGAGCAGTGTTGGGCAAGTTACTTCAAAACTGTAATGCATTATTTATTACTTGTTACCCTCATTTTAAAGTAATTCATTACATTACAATATTACTGATTTTAAAATGTAAGACATTACACTACTTTTGCATTACTTGAAGTAACTTTCACCAAAACAACTTCAATATGAATCTGGTCATGTGACGCTCAGTGAGCTCATGACATATATGTGGAAGGTGATGTGGTGTCTGAGCTGGGATTGCTGTTAAAAACAGTCAGATATAATAACAGTGCTTTAAAATGATTGTTTATTAAATAAAAGCAACAACAATCTGTACTCTCAGCGCGCTGCCATCTTATATTAACTGAGCAGGGAGTGAGGTGGTGGGGGCTCCAAGCCTATATTTGCCTTGGTCCCCAAATGCCTTGATACGGCCCTGGATGTGGGACTGACTTCTGGGCTGATCTGATTCTATCACATGTATAAATATTGAAAGCTTATAAATTATTGCTTTTCACTGGTAAAAATGTGTATTGGGATAAATCTACCTACTTTTTTCTTTTTTTCTTGATTTTATTTGAATAATTTCCGGCCCTTTCTCTCTCTAACCTTCCTGCATGCTGCATGTTTTCTCCGTCTTCCAGAAAAAACTGTTTCCTAGACTTCCTACCTTCTAACGATCAGCCAAAGGGATCTTCACACGCGCGGCGCTCCAGCAGTAATGAGTTGAAATCACCGGGGCACAGATTATGAACTCAGCTGAGGCAAAGCACGTCAGAAAAGCACAAAATACCAGAGAACATGCACTGACATGAACGATCGCAAGTGAATTATTTTGTTTTAGTGGAGCGATTTTGTGAATGTTACAGCGGCCGCGTGCAGGACGCAGCTGAGCCGTTACCGCGGCATCCTCTCTGCCCGCAAAGCTGAGTCCATAAATCACGTAATATATGCAGAAACTGGATCTTTCTTCGGGTTTCCCGCAATTTGAATTTTTAAGGAACACATCTTGATTCTGGGTTTAAAAATGCATTGTAATTACCACGTTACTGACGATTGTACCGAGTAAATATTACCATTTTCTTTCCCTGTAATGCCTTACATTACCACATTACATCAAAAAGCAATGCATTACAGTAATTAATTACTTTTGTACCGCATTACTCCCAACACTGTTAATGAGACTGAATGAAGATAGTATTCCTGTAGGGCTCAACTACACTCCCAAATGATCACCAAGCTATTAAGTAAAGACAAATAACAGTCAGACATCTGGCATTAACAACTTATGAAAGTGTTACCAGGAAACCTTTGTTTTTAGATGTGTAGAAGGCCAAATTTAAGACTTGCAAAGTACGTTTACTGATAACCAGCAGATCAAGTCAGAAAATAAAACAACTGTTATAAACTCAAACTAACGTCTTCAGAAAAAGTTTCAAACAACAAACTGTTTAACTACGGCTCCATTTATTGAATAAAAGAATACACATTTTATGACAAAATAGCATCAACTTACTTAGCAACAATAAGAACCTTTCTGTAAGTGGATGGAAACAAGTATTCTTAAAAGAAGACAAAGCTAACAGGACAGAAATGTTCATGGTAAACCAAGGGGCAGCCTATGTCTTAATTTTTTGAAGCCAACCACAAAATGACCAAAATTGCTGTTCCCCCTCATCCACTAGGGGCAACTCTCATTGCCTCCCATGTTAGAAAATCCTAACTTCACAGCAGAAAAAATCATGTTTACAGTCTGGTACAAACAGCCATTTTAGGTTGAATAGTTTACAGGCATGACAACAAAGGAGTGAATCTTTTGTAACTTTTCCCTTGAGGTGTATTTAAATACTTGAAACTATGAATGATTAGATTTTATTGACAGATAGGATTAGCTGTCACAGCTAGCACCAATGGCTAGCTCCAGGGAGGTCTCAGCCTCGGCCTTGAGTGTTCGGCCATTTTGATTTTCTGAGCTTTAGTTGTGTCGTCTGTGAATGCATGTTCGAATGTTAATCATAGAAGAAAATGCATAAGGGTGCTTGGTCCAAGTTGGATGAAATACGACGTGTTGGTATAGTCGTCTCTGTGGCGTCTTGCTGGGTCAGAGCTGGGCCACCTCCGCCTGACCGCAGTCAAAGCCCTGCTGGCCTACAACCTTGACTGGGTGGCATACAGTGATGTAACAGTCCACACTCATCCTAGACAGGGTGAAGATGCTTGTGAACATGTTGTAGTAGTCAATGGCAATGAGGAGGTGGGCTCACGCAGCCCGGGCACCTGGCTTTAATCACTGTGGTCTGTGCTTGTGGCCTGTGGAGCTCTCCAGAGGAGGAGGAGACCACAGAAACTCTGCAACTTGATAAGTTGATGCATGCTCAACTGCATTTTTCTGGCTAAAAGCGGCAAACCTCTGTTAGCTTTGGCTAGCTTGTAGCCAGGAGCAATAGCAGACTGAGATCCTCAGAGTTCGCTCTCAGCACTGCCTCTTTTTTCTTTTTGTATTGCCCAGGAGTGTCGAGACATGGACATGGCCAAGAGGGCTGTGATCGGAACCGCCCACTGAGCGTCAACTCAGTCTTTTAGAAACCTACAGGTGACATCACGGAGGGTTTGTCCATAGTTTTTGTACAGACATTGAGGGGATCAGGCTGACTCTCTGCAGAAAGGATGTTACCTTGATTCAAACCTATGATGGAATTTCATGGAAAAAGTTGTTTTTGACTTTTTACTTACTTTAACAAAAACATCCAAGTACAGAATGTGGTCTCAAGGTAAAATTTAACCTCCTTTGTAAAAATCATTTCAATGACACAGCAACACTTCCATTCCACCTAGCAAAACTAATCAATTTAAAAACATTGAAATGTCATCTTTGCTTCCTCTTAATAAATTTACAAATTCTTTTTTTAACTCAACGAAAAAGTAGAAATAAGCCTAAAGAATCACAAGCACACTTCCTGACCATTGTAGCAGTGTCTTAAGCTAAATTTGTTAAGTGCAGAAGCTTTATTATATACAAGAACACATTTGGTGACACTCACCATTCCTTTACGTTGATTTACACTTGATTTCAATGCCTCGTCTCTTTTTTATTAATTCGTTTGAAACGAAACTAAAAAAATTCAAGTTATGAATCATCACTACATCATTAATCCTGTTTCACTGATGATCTCTTGGATTTCCAGGCGTGATGCATCTCTGTAGTTAACACCATGCTGCTTGTCCTTAATGTCCAGCAAATGTTCAGTGTGACAGATGACAAATGTCTTTAATATGAAATATAGACCAGTGATCTGATTGAACGAAACTAGATGTGCAAGCAGCTGCTCGTTGTCCAGTGTTTGTTTTTGTACTTGTCTTCTTCAACAGCAAACCCATTTTTCATTTAGGTTTGGCTACAAGCAGTGTCTACCACTTTCACGTTGATGTTCTGATTACAATAGAGCGATGTCTGTATGGTTGAGTGACAAAAATGCTAAATGAAATCCAAACATCTTTGTTTAATATAAGCAAAAATAGGCTCCCGTTATGAAGAAGTCAAGTTCATTTCTAAAACTGTTGACTGTAACATTTCCTTCCTCAAAGAAAGTTGATCCAGAAATCAGCCCTAGCTTCAAGTGGGCATCACTGGGATAGATTTGCTCTTTATTTGTTTGGTACCAATGCTGAGGATACATGTGAGGATGTTTTTTGTGGTGCTCCAATATTGTTACTTTGAGGTGTGACAAAAAAAAATTAAATAAATGTTTCATCACTGTCATTTAAACATCCCTCTTCAATCAGTTTGTTGCATGCATTTATGGGTTTTCACATTATTCTTGGACAGAAAAATGATTATGATCAGGAACAAAGCTTTAAAACTCTGTTGTGGAGACCAGCGTATCTACAGATTGTTGATCTAGAGGGATCCTCCTGGAGTGGGAGGTGTGGGGGACACGGTCCACGCCTAGTCATACAGGCTTCCTCCTTGCCTCCAATGGAGCACAGACAGAAACTGGCTCCCTTGTGGTGTTGCGGCCGCTGGTCAGACTGTTTTGCTCCACGCGAGTCTGACAGGGCACGCAGAAGTCCCTGAAGCATCGCTTAAAATTTTCATCCAAAAAAGCATAAAGGACAGGATTGAGACTGCTGTTGGTGTAGCCTAAGGCGATGCAAAGGTGCCAGCTTGCTATTACGAAGGGATTCCTGGTGTCAATCTCTACCATTGTCCTTACAATAATGAATATGTGGATGGGGGTCCAACAGATGATGAAAGCTGCGACTACCACAAGGACCATACGGGTGATTCGGCGCATGTTGCGATCTTTCTCCTTCGAACCAGAAAGTAGACGAACACTCCTCAGTCGCAGAATCATCAGGCCATAACAGATGGTGATGACCATTACTGGGACCACAAAGGCAAAGATGAAGACACAGATCTTAGTCACAGTGTCCCAGTACCAGTCAGGATCAGGAAACTTCAGCATGCATGCAATGTTGCCTGAAAGAGAGCAAATACAGTTTAATATGTCATGTGACACAGATGGGATTGAAATTTTGTCCTTTCCTTTCTCAAAACACGTTCGAAGGAAGATATCAAATTTGTATGTCTTTTTAAAAATGCCCATTTTCCCCCTGATGAATCTTAGCCAACCACAACAAATGAAAGGTATCCAGTTCCATCTTTATTTTCTTTTACCCAATTTGACATACGTTACGTACATCAATCTCCCATTTCTTTCTACCCTTACTTGTGAACCAGACTGGCTGGCAAATGGTAGATGTGCTGCAATTGTATAGCACTTTTCTAAGTCAGAGGACTCCAAAGTTCTTTACACTACAGCCATTTCTCCATATTAATAGTTATGGTCTCCATTTTCGCCACAGCTGCGCTGGTGAACACTGAAAGAGACAAGGCTGCTACACAATCGGTGCAGCCAGAGCCTGGGTTTGAACCAGTAACCCATCTACTGGTGAACTCTAAACCTTTGAGCCGCCTTCACCTGGAATGCTCATTACCTCGGGGCACTGACTCATTCAATCTACCATTTTCTGCTTGAGGACCATGATTTCAGACATGGAAGTGTTCATCTCTGACCAGCTCCTTTAGACTTGGCAGCAAATACTTCAAGTTCCTGCTGAAAGTTCCAGATCAATGAGTCCAGCAGGACCTGATCACTACCAACAAGTAGTGATGCAATCTAAAAACCTCTTTCTATTGTCAAAGTTCAGCGCATCCCACAAAGAAGTCTGAGTAGTCTCCCTCTGAGTGCTAGAAAAGCATTGCAGCAGTTGAAGATCTCCTTCTAGCACCTGATCCAATTGACAACTCACCTCCTCGTTTCATCTGAATGCTATAAGAGGGCAGATCTACTACCTGCAACCAAGGATGTCCACAAATGTGTGCACTTATGGAAATCCCTTAGACAGAAATATAGTGTTATGGACAAACCATCACTAGCACAACAAGAATCATCTTACCTGCATCTGTTACTTTAGTCACAGCCATCACCATAATAGGCACACCTATTGCAGACGATAAGACCCAGATTAGGACATTGATCATCTTAGCCTTGACCGGTGTCCGAAACCCCAGTGCCTTGACTGGGTGACATACAGCAATGTAACGATCCACGCTCATCATAGTGAGGGTGAAGATGCTTGTGAACATGTTGTAGTAGTCAATGGCAATGATGAGCTTGCACAGAGCTTCTCCAAAAGGCCAAGTGCTCATTAAGTATTTTGCACTTTGAAAGGGCAATGTGCTGGTGGCCAGGGCGTCAGCAAGAGCCAAGTTAAAGATGTAGATGTTCGTAGCAGTTTTCATCTTGGTGTATCTGGTTGTGATAAAAGAAAAGCAATGGTTCAAGTCAAAACACAAATCACAGTTATTTGTAAAACATAAAACAAAGAGTAGGAAAACAAAGGGTAAAGTAATCTATTATGTGGAGGTAGCACTTCCAACATTAGATTCTTACTGATTCTGTAATCTGTAAACATCATCATCAGCATCAGCAGAGTTTAATCTGTTTGGACATTGTTAGTACAGACCAAGCCCCCACAATGCGGCTCTAAAAATGGTCCCATCCCGGAAGTAAGAGAAATTGCAGTTCCACCCTCATCCGCTGGGGGTTGGTGTCAGAAGCGAGCAAATCCTCATTGACTCCCGTGTTAAAAATGCCATTTTCACAGCAGAAATAAACATGTTTACAGCCTGGTACCAAAACATGTTTTAGGTTTAAATGATCTAGTTTACACTCATGACATGAAAAAAAAAAAAAAAAAAGACTTCCGGCACTCACAGGGAGCAGACGCTTCTGCCTTTTTCTCCCTTATCTGTGTTTTCCCAAGGCTCTTTTTGTCCCGTCTGCCTACAGAGCACTTCTCTGCATTTCCTCTGCAATCACCTTTTTCAACATGGACTTAATTAATTGGTCATTCAACGCGATTGATAAGATTTTTTCTACAATGAGGACGGAGGAGGGGGCTCACGCTTGTCCTCAGGGGACACATGCAGCGGGATATATGCTCAATTCCTGGAAGAAGTGGAATGTCATCTGTCTCTCTCAGCTGTCCATTGAGGACGTTGAAGATATGTGGATATTTGGCCTGATGATCGTTGGATTTCTTCTGATTGGAGTGGGAGGATATCTGGCTTTCCGTAAAATTGGGATGACGGGAGCGATTGGAGGGCGACCCGCATCCATGGACGGCACCGTCCGTGTGGATACCTCACAGACTGGGACGTTGCTCGAGGTGAATCGCAAGCTGGACAATGTCTTAGCTGCGTTTCCGGTGTTAGCGCGCAGGATTGATAACATCTCGGAAAGGGTCTCCGGACGGTGTGGAGATGTTTAATCACTGAATTGGCTTCACTGGAGGACTTGAATGATCAATACAGACTTAAGGCAGAGAGGAAAAATTATCTCTGTCTGACCCAAACAAAGTTCTGTTATCGAATCTGACGCCATAAGCAGCCTTGGAGTTGCATGCAAAAACCCCCACGCTGGAAGGAATGCAGACAAATGCTGTGAATCTCTATTCCCCCCCCACCCCCACCCCCCCACCCCCCCCCGCCTTCAGATTGAGGTCTCCACCGAGGTCATCAAGCTAAAGGACTCACTGCTCTCTGTGCTTCCCCATGACCTCCCTCCCACCTGCGGAGCCAGCTGGTTGAGCGCCACACAGGCAGCCCCCGCTGAGGAAACCAGGATCCCAGCCCCTCCCCCCTACCTACCGGGTCTCATGTTGTGAACTGTGACGTTTGTTGCTTACATGTCGGGTGTTTTTTGCATTGGAGTGCTACACCCTGATGGTGTAACCCTGTTAATGCCTTTTTTTCTCCCTCCCTGAACTTCCCTCATGTAACACCCTTTTCATCTATCTATGAAGGTAGCGTGACTCATGTTGCGAATGACCGCAGTCACCAATTCTTGTTATGTGTCTTACCCACGTATGTCTGATCTTTGAATTGTGTGTGCTGAAACTGAATTTCATTTCTCTGTATGTCCTGCACATGTGGAGAATATGACAATAAATGACTTTGAATCTTTGACAACTCTGAGGGGGTGAATTTTTTTCTTACTCTTCTGTTTAAGTGTATTGAAAGCCTAAAATTCTGTATAATTAATGAGCATCAGACCCACGTGACCACAGAACTAGCTCCGTGGAAAGGCCTCAGTAGAGCCTCGGTCCCTCCTGGAAACTGTTTCGGGATTTTGAGTCTCTGTGCTTGTGAAATCTGTTTTGGATATTATTTGTGCAATTGTTGGACAAAATGACTTGCTGTGGTATTAATTGCACTAATAGAGCGTCCAAGGAGTCTCCACTTCATTTTTTCGGTAAGTTAAAATCTATATTTGTATTTTATGTCACTGCCGCCTTTAAACTAGCTGAGTTTACTGAAGTAGCTAGCTAACTATCAGTTTAACATGTAGCATGTACTGTTTAACCATGAAATTTAAATGTAAAATACGGTAAAATAATTAATAGGGCATATTTCGATGGGTAATAGGGTAAAACCCAGTGCATTTAAGATAAAAATGGGTTGAAATATGACAGAGCGCTTGGAGGGAAACTTCTGTGTTCCAATGTTCCATCCGGTAATCCCCAGCGGTCAGGCCGGGCAGCCTGACCGATGCGGCGGCTAGCTTCTTCGCGGGCTGACCGCTCGTGGAGCTCTCGGACTCGGAGACAGATCTGACCGGAGAAATACTGCAGCTCGGTGAGAAGTCTATAGGACATACAGCGTTTCCCTTAAATCCCACCGCCACGCCGACAAGATCCCAAGTTTCTTTGTTTTTGTTGGCGCTGTTTACCAAAGAAGCAGCGGGAACTACTATGTTGTCGCTTGTGATCACAGCCGGCGGCCAGCAAAGAGGAGCAGGCCGGGCAAGGTGAAGTTACTGAGTTTAAAATTAGAAAGGTAGCAGTGGATATAATGCCTTTCGGTTTACATTTTTCAGTAGCATTAAGATAAACGAGTGTTGATGATCTAGACAGGGTTTCCTCCAGTGCTTACTAGGCCAGGTTTCCCTCCCCCCACCAGGCTAAGCATCACTTATTCATGTAAAATTTAGTTTTTCGTGTCTGACTTTAACCACATCTAATACTGTACTACGGCGTGAGCGCAACAGCGACAATTTAAGATCGATGTGTGAGCAGCCTGAGAGGTCGGGTGTTTCATCTGAACCCTTAGAACCTCCAGCAGGCTACGCTGCACTATCGACGTGTTAGCGCACGGGGCTAACAACTTAGTGACGTGACATGTCTCTGCGAAAGCGTAAAAACACGTTGGACGCTTCTTCTGAAGCGGGAAAATAACACTTCTTCATAAGCAGAGCACAACGTCGCCTCGGCTATTTCACGGCCGAGCCGGACTGAGCTCGATAACATTGACCCAGCACAGCCACTGGGTCGTTGGAGCTGCCCCGTGACTGCCTGATGGAAAACTAGCGGGTTTCATCAGACTCGTAGTTTCTTGTTTTTGCTGGGGACCCCCTGTATTTTACCGCTCCCTCCTGCAGTCTTCCCCTATTAAAATTTAAAATGATTCTTTAAATTCCGTGTATCAATAGAAAAAATGTCTGCTTCTGCCAGCTGCAGTAAATGTAGACTCCATATAATAATTAAGAGGTGCATTCATCTGTGTATCTCCTTTGATCCGCATTAGTGATGTTCTCAGCACCAGAACAGTGAAGCAAAGAAACAGATTCCTGAGTTTATGTTAGTAATTTTATTTATTTGGTGCATCTAACCTGTTCTATTTTTCTCTGAAATGAGATCAAATCAGCGCTTCTATGGGTTGTCTCCACTCTGCGCTAGAAATTTTTACTTTATTTAAAGACGTGTCATATTTTCTCCCCAAGCCTGACCTGACCGCAGATATACTGCAGCTCGGTGAGTTGGTAGATAGTGCTTGATGTTAGAAGTCTGTATGCCATCAGATAAACTCGCTCTTTTTTTGGGGGGTGAGGCTTATATTGCAGTACGCTCGAGTCAGTAATTTCCGGTAAGTATTTGAAAGCCATATAATTAATTAGTTCTTTGTATGAAGTTTTCCTCTAGGTGATCCAGAGAGGCTTGACCTTTGGGTGAGCAACCAAAGAAGAGAGTGCTGGACTCCCAATTCATTCTCCCGCTTGTACAGTGAACACTTTGAGAGTCATCACTTCACCACGGACTCCAGGGTACAAACACATTACTTCATATTTTGGTTGAGATATAAAAAATTGAAGCATTAGCTGTATAATATACCAATGTGTAACTAGAAGAAAATCTTCCCCACCCTTGAATTGTCTGTGACTAGGGCTGTTTAGATGGGAAACAATCATGTTATTAATTTCCATCTAATTCTATGGTTAATTACTCAGAGAAACAATTAATTTTTGGACAGTCTTTAATGTGTAACTTTATGTATTGGGATGAATGACAAATATTCATGTTAAACTAAAATGTTAGGCATTTAGGGGGAAAAAACAAAATAATAAACATTATACAGATGTCAAATAAATCAAACTGTAATTAAACTATATATTTTCAAAGTCTCGATTCTGGATAAAATCCAGCATGAAGCTGGATGAGAAGCATGAATCAGGCTTAAGATCAACCCTCCTATATTCATGAAACCAAAGAAGTCCAATTGCCTTCTTTAAAAATCCATTTGATGTCATACTGAACAACTGTTGTATTTGATTCTAATTTGAATGATTCTGTTTCAGGTGGAAATGCTGTGTGAATCCTGTGTTCTGTGGCCCATGACCTGTGTCAGCCCGGTTCTGTATGTGGCCTTGCTGAGTTCTCTGTAGATAGGTTTTCTGGCGCTTGGGGCCGTGCCAGAGTGCACCTGATCCTTGGCAGTCTAAAGCCGGGCATACACTGTGCGACTTTTTCACTCGTAGCACTCAGCTTCAGCTCACACTGTACGACTTCCTCGCAAGGCAGATCTCACGAGTCAGTCGCTCACACTGAATGACCCGGTTCTCGGATGCGACCTGACTGCTCACACTGTACGTCTGGTAGCAACACGTCGGCCCTAAAAATATGCTAAAAATAGCAGTTTTTACTCAACACGTCAGACTTTTTTGTCCTGTCTTGCCTGTTGTCCTTCGGGAGTGCTGCAGGAGGACACACAGGGATTTATGGGGGTTGGATGAGGAAAACGAAATAAAGAAAGTGAATCTGTGTTTTGTGATCAGTTTAATTTGACACGAACACGACAAACACGCTTTCTTGACAATCTTTGTGAGTAAAAAAAACGTGTAGAAACAAAAACGAACAGCGTGTGTTATTAGGGAAATAGCGGGCGAGCGGTGTTGATGCAGGATTGCGCATGCGC